GGATTTTAAAATGATTTGGGCTTAAAAATTAAAATTATGAAATAATCTAATTTATTCAATTAATTTGCTAATTTGTATAGGAAAAAAATAAAATAATTTAATTAATTCAATATAAAAAATAAAAAAATTATTTAGTTTCGGTTCTTGTTCGGTTCTTCGGTTCTTGGTCTAGACCCGAGACCCGACCCAAACCCATCGGTTCTCGATTCGGGTACCCGTTCGAGTATTTAATTTATGAAGAACCGCTCGGTTCGGTTCGGTTTGGTTTGGGTTCGGTTCGGTCCGGTTCGGTTCGGAACTTTTGGACACCCCTAATTCCAGTCCTGACTAACAACTATACCCAACCATCTCTTCCGACAATGAAAATTATTTGCAAGCATTTAAAGATATTTTTTTGTGACTTTGGTACATATAATATCCTGTTAAGTATTTGTAAGTAATACAATATTTGTTCAATTTTTTTTGAGGGCTTTTGATATTTTACAGGGAGCACCAGATCTATCGGAGTTCGGAGAATTTGGCGATGTTTACGACGTGGGCTTTGGATTAGGGCAGGATCATCCTCCAACCACTCTGATTTTCAAGAAAGAATTGCAAAGGAAAATCATTTACCAATTGTCACCTCGAGAGGTAATTCTTTTGTCCCTATCGATTATAATTTTCGACTCTAACTACACTTTCATTGGCCCGATTGCAACTTGACCGGTCTCCTACAACCGACATTAACATGGGGGAAGAGTTCAAAAGTCAAGAATTAACTATACACAATTCAAAAATCAGGTTTTAAGTTTGACTAATGCAAAAATCGGTTTTAGTTAATTAATTAAAAATATTTATTAATTAAATATAATAAAATCACAGTTATATAATTAATGGTCACATATACATAATTATAGGTCACATGTCACATATTTTAAAATTAATTGATCACATATTATTTCGAGATCACAGATAAAAAATTTTGTACGTCAAAAATTATTTCGAGATTACAGATTTTTAAATTAGTTGGTCACAGATTATTTTTGAGTCACATATTATTAAATTTTTAGGTCACGTTGAGTAATTGGTCACAAATTACCAAACATTTGATCACAGATTACCAAACATTTGATCACAGACTACCGTCACTACCACTATGACTACTATCGACCACCCTCACCACGCCGCCACATCCACAACAGTACTAACAAAGCCACTGACAACTACATCAACCACCAATCAATTGCATATTACCTATTTTATAGGTCACAAATGCCAAACATCTCCAACAGAAACGCGCCCATAGCCCACCCCACCACCTCCGCCGCCACCTCCACCTCCACCTCCACCTCCACTGACAACCACATCAGCATGAAAACCACCCCGTCGCTTTAAATATATTCGAGCAACAGCAAATCGCACACACACCACCACAAATTGATGCACCGGTATGAAACCAGAGTGGGAACAAAGCCCTACCGTTGACGCATTGCCTTAAATCGGCCATCAATATTGATCTGCCATTTCCACTCACACAGTTCTTTTAAGAAATTAGAGAGATATGCGCGCAGCTGGGCTGTCTCGCGATGGTGAGGGAGATCTGAGCGAGGTTGGACAGTAGTGGCGACGCCGCTGCTCGACTCGTCGGTAGTGGGCGCTCCTCAATGGCGACGGTGGCAAGGAAGAGGATAGAGAGAGAGACACGAGAATCGAAGAGGAGGAGGAATAGAAGAAAAATGATTTAGGTTTTGTTTGGGATTATGGGTAGGGTTTTAATACCTGATTTTTGAATAAATAAACTTTGCACCTAATTTTTAAAAAGCAATCTTTAAACACCAGATTTTTTGTAATTTCCCTTAACATGGTCCATATGAACATTCAGGATTCGACACTAGCAGCCATGCTTTTTCGGCCGGGCCCAATTCAAGCATTGACAAGTGCACAATTTAAAGAGGGGGAGAACACAGAGAAGGTTCCTCGTATATACATCAAAACAACCCAGGATAATGTCATGAAACCTGAGCAACAAGATGCAATGATCAAGAGATGGCCACCATCGAAAGTTTACGTTTTGGAAAGTGATCACAGCCCATTTTTCTCCGCACCGTTTTCTCTGTTTGGTTTGCTTGTTAAGGCTGCAATTTCTGCCGGATGCAATTAGGCCGAACGGAGAAAATTAAACACAAATTCGAATAACGTGAAGACGGAGTGAACGACTACGTCTCAATGTCTCATGGTAAGGGACTGAGTTCCGGTTGATAAGATATTACAGAGGGATTCTTGCACTTGAGAAAGTGGATGCTCTTGCTCAACTTGGATCAGATTACATGAATTATTGTTTTGATTCTGTTCAATTCATAACTACATTTAGAGTACGTTTTGGTAAAATTATAATTTGATTATAAAGAAACGAGTAACATGTCTTTAGAATTGTGTGGTAAAATTAATGTTTGACTTTGATCTCAAATTATAAGTAAATTATAATGAAACCAAACAAGCAGTTAAGATTGAATCACTCCATGAATGTGGGTTCTTAAAATTATTTGAAAAGTTTCATTACAAAATATTTATATTTTTGACAAAGTTGAAAATAAATAAATTATTTATTTGAAAGTAACTCCTAACTTTTAGAATAACTAGTTAGAATTGAACGTGCGTTGCACGTTATTCTAAAATGCTTTATAAGTCTCGTGAAAGTAATATTTGACATTTTATTTACCCCTTTGATTTAAATATGAAAGAAATGCAAATCCCTAAAAATAAATGTCAATTAATGCACATGCACATAAATAGTGAAATGTTTGAATGTGAGTATTATAATTACAACTAAATACATAAATGAAAATGAATGACAAATACGATACATAAGTTAATGTTAATGTTAATTAATTTAGAAGTAATACCAATGAATAGATATCATACATGTGACAGTGAATGTTAAATCATTTATATTAAATGAATATAATTTAATTTTTAATTAAGTGATATTGGATGCTAATTAGCATACATAGATATGAATAATGAATTGCATTATTGATTGTAAAAATTCTAATTAATATTAATTAAATGAATGTGAATGTTAATTAATTGAGAGTTAAAAATATGGACATGAATGTGGATATAAAATTCTAATTAATATTAATTAAATAAATACGGATGTTAATTAATTGAGAATCAATAACAAGGAATACATGCATGAACAAGGATTTTGTAAAATTTATTATAATTTGTAAATTAAATACGTTTTAAAAACGAAAAGTAAGATATCATTGAAATAATTAAATTGTAGTAGGGTTATAATCGTCCAAAAACTATTTTCTATTCACTTATTGCATCTACACTTCAAAATTTTTACTTACAACACAAGTGGAAAAATATAAATATTTTTCGCTAAAATGAGATGATTTTGAAAGTTTCCATAATTTATTGTCAAAATAAATATTTTTCATTATATTTGAAAAGGGTTATTAGCACAAAACGTTTCTACGCTTAAAGTTCATTGTGCAAAACATCTTAACTTTTTTTTTTCTTTTTTGCATTTTCACCCATATTTACACATTTCATTGCGAAAATCATCATTTATATCCATTTCCATTTAATTTTTTAAAAAAAAACGTGAAAGGATGAATATACATTCCTATTTAACTAAAACAAAAAGAAAAGAAAATTAAAGAATAAATTGCAACCATACTCACAATTTTTTTAAAAAGTAAAAACGAGTCTCAAATAAATTCTTTAAAAAAAAATCTCTTTCTTTCTCCTTCCTCCTCCACCGATTAAAGAACTAATCCCACTTAGCCCATGTTTGGTTCTCTCTTTCTGGATTATTACTATTGCATAATAATTTTCTTTGCAGGTCCTTTGACACCAATGTGGAGGTTTGTTAGGCAAATTGTTGTCAAACGACCTCTCAGACGATGATGTAAGTATTATTTATTTCAGTCGGCATCGATCAAATGATTGAATGTATATCAAGACCACAATTGTCTAAACCAATCATATAATCCACTTGGGCCATTTGAAGCAACTTAATTTAATTAGTGCTGCTCATGGTCCAACCCAAAACTTGGATGGCTTTTATCTAGTTGACAACCCACTTATTTCCTATTGGGCCTAATTATGTTCTAACCCTAAAAGCCTAGACCCAACCCTTTATATATATATTGACCTATTACTGTTGCTAATTGAGTGAAAAAAAAGTTAATAGCCGTGTTTGAGAAGAAAAAGGGCAGCTTGGCTTCGTGCTCTCTGCCTGGCTTCGTGCCACTGCTTTGTGGTTTTGTTTCTCTTCTTTCTCCAACCTTTATGGCTATTATATCCTCCATATTCAGTCCTTTTTGTGAGCAGAACCTGTAGCAACAGTTTGGGAAATTGGTTTGTGATTAGGTTGGGTAATTGTGGTGATCGATTAAACATACTGAGCCCGAATTTCGTGAAGTTTGGAGCACCTTATTCAACATTTACGATGAATACAATGTGATTTATAGCCGTTCCCATTCCTATGTGGTTCCAACATCTTGTTTAAGTCAAATGTTAAATCTCAATAAGTAGCTCACATTGCATGGCAGAGAAGATCTACTTGAACTTATTGGCGAAGTCGACGGAGAGGCTCTAGAGAAATTTCCTGAATTGCTATTGAGATAGTTGTTTCAAAGAAGTCTATTCATCAAGTTGACAGCAGTTCAGAGAAGACAGTAGGGCTTGAAGACTTTGAATTTTTGAATATTCTTATACCTAGTTGCAGAGAATATGCTCTGCGGATTTGGAGGGAGAGAACTCACATGAAGGAAAATTTTCTTATAATCCTTGAAGAGTACTTATAAGAATATATATACACACAATCATTTGCAAGCTAATAGCCAGTTGTATTTTGACAGCTTAGCATCTCTAACAACTTTAACTAACTTCTAACTGAGGCTTGGCTAAGTAAATAAATATGTCAGCTTCTATGCACCGCAAGACTCCCCCTCAAGATAACAAGTGGATGTTCAAGATACCCATCTTGGTCATAAGGTCTTAAACTTGGCTCCTGCTAATGCTTTCGTCAGTAGGTCTGCTAATTGATTCTTTGTGGACAAGTGCATGGTTTTTATGTCACTTGATTGCACCTTCTCCCTTACCAGATGGCAATCTAACTCTATGTGCTTCATTCTTTCATGGAAGACATGGTTACTCGCTATGTGTAATGTTGCCTGGTTATCACAAAATAGAAGAGCTGCCTTAGGATGGTCCACTCCCAAATCTGCCAGCACTTTATTGAGCCAAATTATCTCATAGACCACTGCAACCATAGCCCTACCGCTTCAGCTGAGGACCTCGAAATGGTATGTTGTTTCTTCGAACGCCAAGATATCAAGGAATTTCCAAGGAACATGCAGAAACCTGTGACTGATCTTCTGTTATTTGCACAAGAGGCCCAATTTGCATCACAAAAGCCTCTAAGTTCAAGGCTAGAATCTGCTGCAAAATATAGACCTTGTTCTGGTGTTCCTTTCACATATTTGAGTACGTGATGTACAACATCCAGATGAGGCTTTCTAGGGGACTCAAGGTATTGACTTAAAACTTATACTGCAAAGGACAAATCTAGCATTGTAATAGTTAAGTACATCAATATGCCAATTAACCTCCTATACATTCTTGGATCATCAATTAACTCCCCTTCATCCTTAGTCGGCGTTATGTTCTGCAACATGGGACATTTTGCAGGCTTTGAGCCCAAATATCCAGCATCCTCAAGCACTTCCAATGCGTATTTGTGCTAGCACACATCAATTCTTTTAGGGCATCTTGCTACTTCAAGTCCTCGAAAATACTTTAAGATCCCTAAGTCCTTCAGTTTGAATTGATTATCAAGATACCTTTTAAAATGCTCAATGTACACCAAATCATTCCCTCCTATTATTATCTCATCAACATAAATAAGGATCGCAATGTATGAGCAGCCAATCCTTCTACTGAACAATGAGTAATCTGACCTAGATTGAATAAATCCCTGGGAGATGATGAATGAAGATAGTTTTGTGTTCCATTGCCTCGAAGCCTGTTTGAGGCCATAGATAGATTTGTTGAGTTTACAAACCAACTATACACCATCCTCTCCCTGCTGCTCATAACCCGGTGGTAATCTCATATACACTACTTCTTCAAGGTCACCATGAAGAAAGGTATTGTTGATGTCTAGTTGATGAAGATGCCAATTTTAGATGGCAGCCACTGCCAGGAGAGCTTTCACTGAAGTTAACTTGGCTACGGGAGAAAATGTTTCTTGATAATCCAGTCCTGATTGTTGAGTAAATCCCTTTGCTACTAGTCCAGTCTTATTCATTTCCTCAATCCCATCCTGATTAAGCTTGACCTTATAAACGCACTTGCAGTCAACGGGTTTTTTATTGGCAGGCAATTGAGCAATGGTCCATGTGTTGTTAGTAACCAAGGCCTGATACTCAGCATCCATGGCCTGACACCAAGCTGGAGATTAAGAAGCCTCCAAGAATTTCTTGGTTCAGAAGTTGTAGAAAGTGAGAACACATAGGCCTTGTGATCTGGGTAGGCAATTGAGTAATGGTCCATGTGTTGTTAGCAACCATGGCCTGACACTTAACATCCATGGCCTGACACTCAGCATCCATGGCCTGGCACCAAGCTGGAGATTGGGAAGCCTCTAAGAAGTTTCTTAGTTCAGAAGTTGTGGAAAGTGACAACACATAGGCCTTGTGATCTGGTGAAAGTGAATCATAACCTAAACTAGTAGATAGGGGATATGATGTACAAGCTGTTTGACATGGACTGGAAGATAGTTTAGTGGCAAGGTTGCAGTGAAATTGCTAAAGGTAGCTAGTTGGCTTTCTTGGTCTAGTAGATCTGGGAGGAAAGTTGGAAGGAATATGTGAAGGAGGAGGAGGTGGATGAGAGATAAATGAAGGTGCAGGGGAAGAGATTAAAGGAGCCTGAGAAGGGAAATTATGGAATCCTCCTGATGGCACCTGAGTGTGAGGGTATGATGTGGAGGAATGAACATAAGTTTGGGGTTCTGGAAAAGGGAATGAAGAAGTAGGAAAGAGAGGAAGATGCGATGATGAATTGGAAGTGGCATTAGAACACCCAAGAGCATTTAAGAAAGTAGGATCACCGAAAGGAAATAGATTTTCATGGAATATA